CACTAAAACTCAGTTATTATATAAAATCACTAAAACTCAGTTATTATATAAAATCACTAAAACTCAGTTATTATATAAAATCACTAATTGCATTAATTACAATTTTATTAATCAACATTAAACTAAAATCATTACAATATCACATTTTTAGCCTTGTTATCGATCGTAGTACTCTAACCGAACTGAATTCAAAGGTACTAGAACCCTATACTCTTTTTCCTTTTCTTTTTTTTTTTTGTAGATAGTATAGGGAAGGTATGAAAATAGGACAGGAGAGTAGGGAAACGTTTGATTTGGCAGGTATCGAGGTGCGAGACTAGTTTTCCCAATGGGAGACTCTCCAATGTCCGATGTACCCCACGGTTTTTCTTCGTTTCCTAACGCGACCCTCTAACTCTCCCTCTCCCTCTCTCTCTCTCTCGTATTTTGGTGAGGTGAAAGAAAGAGATAGAGAGAGCCAGAAAGACTCAGAGAGAGAGAGAGAGAGATGGGGGGTTCAAATAAGAAAAATATATCAATCCCATGTGTATGTGTTTGTATGTGTCCTATATGTGTCTGTATGTGTCTGTATATGTTTATATGTGTGATGTCCATTGAGTTTGAATGTGTTTGTATATTTGTACATATATGTAGTAGTAGTCTACGATCGATAACACATATATTTATACATATGTGTGTGTGTGTATGTTGGTATGTATAAAAGAGAGAGAGAGAGAGGGACAGACAGAAAAAAGAGAAAAGAAGCTGTCAGTGAAAAGAGAGAATGAGAGAGAATAAGAGAGAGACAGAGAGAGAAAGGAAAAGAAGAGGAAGAGTTTGGTTTAGCAGAAAGTGTGTGTGTGTGTGTGTATAGGTTTGTGTTTGTTTGTGTGTATGTGTAAGTTGAATGATCATAGTAGTAGTGAGCTTCGAACTCGGGACACATCGCGCACGGATGACGAGTAATCGATCACGAGCACTCTGCCAACACTCTCGAAGAGAACCACCACCAGTCCTCCTCCTACACCTCCTCCTCCTCCTCCTCCTCCCCGCCTTCCTCAATCCTCCCTTTCAGTCCTCTCCCTCAGTGTCTCTCATTTTTTTTGTCTTTTTTTTTCTAAACCGATAAAGCACGTTTCGTTGTAGATCCGATGGAACAATTTTTTTTTTTCTTATTTTTTTTTCTCTGTATCGCATAAAGGGACACACACACACACACACACACACGCATATTCATATATATTCATGTATATTCACATATATTTAGACACATATATATGACAGAGGAAAAGGGAATGTAAAATCAGTTATTACACTTAACAAACGAAGTTTGTTGCAATTTTTAAATTCGAATATTTGAAAATTGTTTAATTGAAAGTTTGAAACAAATTCAAGTTAAATAATTTAATTATATTTTTTTGAGTAATTGTTTTATTAATAATTGTATTTACTAATAATTAATTTATTTAAATCAATTATTACACTTAACACACGAAATTTGTTGCAATTTTCAAATTCGAATATTTTTCGATTTTACGAAAAAATCTCACTACTTTTCGGAAAAAACCTCACTACTTTTCGGAAATACTATACGTACTTATCTTTTTTGAAATACGCTACGGAACTTTCAGAAATACCCTTCGGTTTTTTTTTTAAAAGTTTGTAGATTTTTTCCAAGAAGTTTGAAGTTTTTTTTAAAAAAGTGCATAGGGTATTTCCGAAAAGGTCGTAGAGTATTTCAAAAAAGATAAGTACGTATAGTATCTCCGAAAAGTACGTAAAGTATTTCCGAAAAGTAGTGAGGTTTTTTCCGAAAAGTAGTGAGGTTTTTTCCGAAA